CCCCCGATTTAAACATAAAGCACACAATGCTAGCTTATGCGGATGAAGCAATACGGGGATTAGTCATGGTTAAGTAATATTATTTTGAAATAAATTCCCGTATTAACATAACTTAATAAGAACAAGCTGGATTACTTGTACATGTTATTTTTAACCCACCCAATGTATAATGTTTCCCTCCAAAATTCGGAAACGCATATATCTGCAACTTTCTATAAATTCTCATTGGTTACAAATCTAAATCAACATTTTTGAAAAACTAATATATAGATTTACTTTTGTGAAAGGGAACGTGTGAATGGTTAAAGTCCTCGTTGAGATGATATTTTAGATTCATTAGTGTTACATAATCGATGCAGAAAGATGCGAGAAAAGACGATTTTGCGTTCATTGCGAGATCTCGCGTAATGCGTGAATAACGTATACCCAACGTCTACGCAAAACTCGAATAATTTGATTTTTAACTTGAATTTTTTCATAGTTCAATGTCGAAAGGCCGACCTTACAGAGCGGTATATGGCCTTGAGAAAATATTACTTCATCAAAATGACCATCATGAAAAAGCGTATAGCGTAGAAATTTCTCCAAAATATGTTTGTCGAATGCCAGGCAATGTTTTGACGCCATTACGACGCCGTGACATTTTTACATTCGATTTCACGCATAATGCGGGATCTCACAGCGAACGGAAACGATTTTAATATGTTCGAATTAAAACGCTCGAACATTGACGATTTTATTCATCAATGATTCAACGTAGTTCACACATATTTATAAAACTTGAATATATTTAGTAAACCTGGAGTAACAACTGCAGTAGTTGTAAGACAACTCGTCTTTGTAAAAATTATGGAATATCAATTCATAGTTAAAAACAATGTGTCATTCCAAAACAATTTTTTTAGTTGGTGCAGACGATTTTCAAAAAGGCGCTAAAGATAAATATAAGTATTTTTTTCCAGTATTTCTGTTTGTTGTCATACACACTAAAAAGCATGTTTATCACGAATTAACAATACTGTATTGGTCGCCCATGAAATATCAGTGGAATTTTTATGACGTAATAATGAATCAAGCAAACGCGCATGCGCGTTACCAAAGGAATACCACTTGCATATTGTCGGCGAAAAACACAATATCTGTATTTCTGTTTACAAATAATCATATATCAAAACGTATGATTCTATCACAACACCATGAGAATTTTCCAGATGTTCAACCGTTCAAAAATATTGCCATTATTGAATGTACAACGTAAACCAAACTGCATGAAGTTATTTTATATTGAAATTTGACGAAATTCTGGATTATTCCTCTTCTTGGGATTATATGTGATGTTATGCTGGAGTATTGTAGTTTACCCATAGTTCATAGCTTAATTATGCATTCATAAATCACGTCACTTCCCTAACAACAAAGGTCTGCTTCATTACAAACAGTCTTCTGCTTGACTGTAGCCCGGCTCTGAGCTAACAAAATAGTCGTCTAAAAAGCCGTGAAGAAAATCGAATGTTGGACGATCATATGGTTCGTGGGCCCAGCATTTCATCATTACGTCATCATATAAGCTATCCGGGCAGTGCCTTGGTTTTGGCATACGATATCCACGTTCAACTTGTTCTAACACTTCTCTGCCATTCATACCTGGTAAAGTAATGAATGAGATAAATTTTATTTATTATATCAATAACGATATCACCTAGAAAAAAATATGTATAGTATCATTACATATCACACATGCATGTCTCCCCATTTGTGAGTGAGTGTGACACCCAGTACGGAACTCAAAAACAGAATTGACACACTAGCACTGCACCTCCGTACGTACACCCATCTTGTCTGACATACAAAAGTGGGAATAGCATACATAACCGTAGAACTTTACACACATTTTGGTCAATTTACAGCCAAAGAACACAACAAAAAGTACAACAACCATTAACAAAACAATCCACAAGGATAGGGCAAAACAACAATACAACTCTTCCAACTAAATCCATATTCAGTGCACAATTATATACTAAGTAGCTCTTCCCACTGATTCCCTAGATTAGTGTACTTGTATTCTGTTTTACACCTCTTCCCACTGAATCCCTAGGTCAGTGCACTTGCGTCTATTGTTATACTTCTTCCCACTGATTCCCTAGATTAGTGCACTTGTACTCTGTTTTACACCTCTTCCCACTAAATCCCTAGGTCAGTGCACTTGCGTCCATTGTTATACTTCTTCCCACTGATTCCCTAGATTAGTGCACTTGTATTCTGTTTTACACCTCTTCCCACTGAATCCCTAGGTCAGTGCACTTGCGTCCATTGTTATACTTCTTCCCACTGAATCCCTAGGTCAGTGCACTTGCGTCCATTGTTATACTTCTTCCCACTGATTCCCTAGATTAGTGCACTTGTATTCTGTTTTACACCTCTTCCCACTAAATCCCTAGGCCAGTGCACTTGCGTCCATTGTTATACTTCTTCCCACTGATTTCCTAGATTGATGCACTTGTATTCTGTTTTACACCTCTTCCCACTGAATCCCTAGGTCAGTGCACTTGCGTCTATTGTTATACTTCTTCCCACTGATTCCCTAGATTGGTGCACTTGTATTCTGTTTTACACCTCTTCCCACTAAATCCTTAGGCCAGTGCACTTGCGTCCATTGTTATACTTCTTCCCACTGATTCCCTAGATTAGTGTACTTGTATTCTGTTTTACACCTCTTCCCACTGAAATCCCTAGGTCAGTGCACTTGCGTCCATTGTTATACTTCTTCCCACTGATTCCCTAGATTAGTGCACTTGTATTCTGTTTTACACCTCTTCCCACTAAATCCCTAGGTCCAGTGCACTTGCGTCCATTGTTATACTTCTTCCCACTGATTCCCTAGATTGGTGCACTTGTATTCTGTTTTACACCTCTTCCCACTAAATCCCTAGGCCAGTGCACTTGCGTCCATTGTTATACTTCTTCCCACTGATTCCCTAGATTAGTGCACTTGTATTCTGTTTTACACCTCTTCCCACTAAATCCTTAGGCCAGTGCACTTGCGTCCATTGTTATACTTCTTCCCACTGATTCCCTAGATTGGTGCACTTGTATTCTGTTTTACACCTCTTCCCACTGAATCCCTAGGTCAGTGCACTTGCGTCTATTGTTATACTTCTTCCCACTGATTCCCTAGATTGGTGCACTTGTATTCTGTTTTACACCTCTTCCCACTAAATCCCTAGGTCAGTGCACTTGCACCCAATGTTATACCTCGTTCAGCTGTATTCCTAGAACTGCGTACTGGTACCAAGCGAAACACTTCTTCCAACTGAAACCCCAATTCAGTGCACTTGAATTGCACACAGCGATACACCTCCACCAACTGAATCCTTTGATCAGTGCACTTTCGCCCAGAAATACACCTCTTCCAACCTTAGCCCTTGCATCAGTTTACTTTCACTCAGCAATATACCTTTTCCCACTGAATCCTAAGATCAGTGCACTTGCACCCAGTGTTATACTTCTTCCAACTAAATCCCTAGATCAATGAACTTTCATCCAGTGATATACCCAGTGATACACCTATTCCAACTGAATACCTATATCAGTGCGCTTGCACCCAGTGATACACCTTTTCCGACGGAACCATTAGATCAGAACACTTGCACCCATTAACACAAAGCTTCCTAAGGTTAGAATAATTTCAACCAATGATACCTTACAACTGCCCATATGTAATCACATTTTCATCTGACCATTGTGATTTTGAATTCATTGCAAATTGATAAGCAGAAGCACTGGGGTTAAAAAATGTATACTTAGGCAAAACATTACAAGCATGCAAGGGGAGCAGAGCAGTGCAATACATCTTTATTATAAATTGCGCCTTCTAGTGTCGAGGCACTTCAAAGCGTCGATAATGTTTGAAACTGTAGCCGTCCAATATTAAAGCGCGGTGGCAGGGAGTCGCGCAGCGCTTGTTCAAATTTCATGTAAAGAAACAATGTATTTTACACGCGTTGTATATGTCGCTATGAGTCCCATATCGAACAGGACGCGGCACGACGACTGCCGCCCTTTAAACATTAATTTGTCAACGTATTTGACTATATTCCTTATGACAAACGACTCTAAAATCCAACACAGTGGTCGATTTAAACATTGCCTTCACTCATATGCGTCATTTTGACGTCAGAGACGGAACCGCCCTGTCACTAGAGTGCGCTATTTATAGGAATCGTGTTTTATCAAACAAGCATGTGAACACATTTGACCATATGGAAATATGGAGGTGGCAAGAATCACATGACACTATATTATACAATAGATGTGGACATCATGAATCTAAATGTCAGCGGAACCACACATATAAAATTATGCGATCACTACAATAATAAAGTCGGCAATCACACACCATAGTGAATCAGTCATGTGATTACAAGAAATAATGTGATCACAGTCACGTGACTACTAATCGACGTCATGTGTTCACTACAATAATAAAGTCAGCAATCACACACCATAGTGAATCAGTCATGTGATTACAAGAAATAATGTGATCACAGTCACGTAACTATTAATTGACGTCATGTGATCACTAACAGTCCACACGAGGTGTATATCATTTATTATTGTCGCGACCCGGGAAAATGAAACCCACAACATTTGCAGGTTGGATGAAAGCCGATTAATGTAATCTTAGATAGATACACCCAATACTACTACATGAAGTTACACTACACAAATAGGTAGAAACCGATCCTCAACTTACCCATATACCCGACGTTCGAGTAAAAAGGCTAACTGTGATATCGGCACATGGTTTGCTATTCTTTAAGACAACGCGCAAGTTGCGAAGAAATAATTTTTCATTAAAATTACGCTATACGTGGTAGGAGTCATTTAAACTTTTACAGAGATCCACAAATAAAACAGTTCAATGACAGACGAGGCATCACGAGGCAAAGTCATTTATTTTCTTTAAAAAAAATCCAAATATTCTAAAATATAAACTATAATACTCCATCTTGGAACTCCAAATATTAAGACGGCCCGGGAGTACCAGGGTCCGCTATTACAAATACCAGTCAAGTCTGACTGGTATAGCTAATTACAATGCAAAAAAACAAAACACAAGATCTTACAAAGATTCAAGATCTTAATGATAAGTTTAGGAAACACGTAACTGACTTAAACAATGACATACAGCGAGAATTTCAGTGAATAAAATCCAAACTACTGAAGTCCAATTTCACATTGCCTATACTATGCGCAATACCTTATCAAAAAACGCCCAAAGCTAAGCTGCAGACTTCAACAGTAGATTATTCGTTCGTTTACTGGGGGATATGTTGTATTTGTCCGAAGCTGGACTAGAATACAGGTCGACAACATTTCTAACATATAGCCACCTCAACATATATATATATATACAATGAGAAGATACAGCATGAGAGCTGACATGTTCATAAAACGTGATATGATAAAAAAAATATTAGTTAAACTTCTCCTATATTCAGAGAGTCAACAACTGCCTTAGCACCAGATTGGTATGGGATTGAGAATATCTACATGTCATTAAGGATTACATACCTGCATAAGGCATTCTGCCTTTAGTGACGATTTCAGTCAAAAGAATACCAAAACTCCAAACATCAGATTTAATTGTAAATCTGTTGTACAGTGCTGCTTCGGGTGCTGTCCACTTGATAGGAAACCTTGCGCCTGTCGGAATACAAACATTGTGACGTCACTTCCTATGCTATATAATGTATATACATATTCCTGAATGATGTGAGGCTTCGCATAAATTGAATTGTAAATCACATAATACAGCGCTAAAATATTTGCAGGCGAATGACCTCGTGTACATTTGCCAAGCCCAAGCAAGAGGTAATTTAGATATTTTGTTCAATTGGGTCATAGCGTCGAGCGTGGTCGGCGGCTCGTACACGCTCAAACTGTCTTCATATGCTACAATCTTGTGTGGCATGTCAGGTAAACCCTTTTGCCTTGCAAATTATGATGTTATCATTTGGAGAACTATTTCAGTCAATACTACACAAACTAACGTTGACGGAATTTGATTTGATGCAACAAAGTATCACAAGACTACGAAACTATCATTTCATACCTTCTCTTGCGACATATTCATCCTCGATAATTCTTGATAACCCAAAATCAGCAACTTTATATTCGTTCTTTTCGCCAACTAAGATATTTCTCGCTGCCAAGTCTCTGTGTATGAAATTTTCTTTCTCCAAATAGACCATCCCACTTGCAATCTAGATTAACATATAAATTAATAAAGCCACATTACACGTCAACATATAAGGAGTATGAATTAGCTGAGACAAACGTTATAAGCTAAATTGGGCCTTATGTGCAAACAGCTGACGAGGTCTCTTTGAGTACGAGAATACAACGAGATTTGTTTTGTCCCTCAAATAATGTTTGCAATGACCAGATATTAGTCACCTACAATAGAAACGTTTGGATAATGTATAACCACACTCCAGATGATTGGAAGCATATATTCATGTACAAGAATTTGTATACGTCGCAAAAAAATGTCAATAAATAAGCTGATATTCTATTGGTCTGACTGCTAGATGTTAGGGTTGAGTAGCCAATCAGGCACAACAATTTAAGTAGTTTCGATTCAAGATTTACTAGCTATGAAGTAATGAAAATGTACATTGCAGGAGTTAACTATTGGTCTTACCTGCGTTGACATGTCAATCATATCTGGAAGCTTACTGTGGTGACCTTCGCCTTCCCTTAGGTAGTCCAACAGACTGCCTTTAGCCATCATTTCTGTTACTATGTAAATCGGTTCCTGGGATATTTAAGATAATTTACAATAAGCCATTTTAACAGTCAATCATTCAATTGATAGACGACATAGTGCGTGAGGTATCAAGGAATACACAGGTACGATAATCATGACTGGAAGTGAGTATTCTGACACGCTATGTCCATTTAAATAATTTGCACATGCAATGGTTTAGAAAAAGTTACATTTTCAATATATTTTGAATTAGAGAATATAAAATGTGATTTTTTAACTACCATGTCAGAGCAAACAGCTAGTAGGGACACAAGATTATCGTGGCGCAGTTTTTTCATGACGTTGGCTTCACCCAAAAACGCTTCTGGCGACATGGCACCAGGTTTCAACGTTTTCACAGCAACTTTTGTAGTTTGGTTCCACAATCCTAGAAACCGAAGCAGATATTTATGTGTTGTGAATTAGATTATGAGACAACTCCTTCTCTATATTAATTGATAAATACTACAAACTTGAATAATGAAATGAAACATATCGTAAATCTTGTGAGTGTGGGTTTTTCACAAAACAATTCTGCATAATATTTTCCACAATTTTTCAAATATCTTGAATAGGGCCTGTAGGAAATGGTGGTGCAAAAATAAAACTTTCTAGAAAACTACATACAAATTTGCAAAATTGGGCACCAAACAAATTTGGGGATTGTGACGTATTGATGTTCAATTTATTAATTATTCATTGAGCAATGGACGTGGCACAAATTATCGATTGTACAGTGAATATTAACGGGATACTAGTGTGACGTAAATATGTGATTAATTGAGTTGGTGCCTTCTTAAAATTCTGTTCTTCTCGTTTTTTTTTCAGCAAGGGTAAAACAGGAACAAGAAAGTATTTTTTGAATTCGATAAATCAAAGCAGTATATATGTGGGATTTGTTTATTGTATGCAAAATATATCGACACATTTTGCGCGAAAAATACTGGGTAAAATTTAAGTGGAAACAAAAATAATTGTACAGCAACGTATCTAAGCAACATTTGGCAAGAAAGTAAACGCCAACATGTTCCTCAATTATTACAGGTACAATATAAGTTTGAAAAAAATACATAAAAACTGCTTGAGTTATTGTAACCACAAGAAAAAACTAACTACAACTACTGCAACAACAACGTGAACAGACGTTTTTCTACCTTATCAACCTTTATTTACGATGGTATGTACAAGGTAGCAAAAAAGGTCACAATGAGACACTCTCTGACGGGTGCAGTGCTACAGTGGAACACTTGAGCATTATTCAAATAAACTCACCTTCCCAGACGTCGCCGAACTGTCCCGAACCCAACTTTTTGCTGAGTGTGAGTGATTCTCGCGGTATTTCCCATTTATCGTGGCCCAGTCCTGGTGTGTTAGGATTCTCCTTGGGACACGCCACCGTCAGTTTGCAGCAGAGACCGTCTGAGCTATCTGGAGAGGAAATGCGTTCAGTGAGAATGGCTGTCACCAATTATGCAAAATTTGAACAATTACTTCGCAATAATTAAGTCATGGTAACACGAATAAAATAAATAAAAACTAAAATAATAAATAAACAAATTATAATAAATGTAATCATAGCGTAAGTCAAGGCGAATACCGTAACGATCCCTGGAAGATCTCCACAAATGCAGAAGAATGCAATTTCCTTTTTTTTGTTATACTTTCCTTTCCCTACTTTTACTTGGAATGATTTGTTCGCTTTTTAGTAGGGTAATAGGTGTATGTTACTTTTATGGGCAGTGAATGTCACATTTAATTACGCCTTTCTTTAAAAGGGTACCTGAGATGAACTAAAAAACTATAGTGGTATAATTTCCCTGTTCAAATTAGTAAACGTCCAGAGTCACGTTGTTAGTTTGAAACGTAAATACTATGCTATATACATCTTCGCTAGCCAAGGTCTAAGTTTATTCGGCCAAGCCTCTAAATAGACCTTGGCAGGACGACCATCAAATTTGCGTATTCTAACAGCGCCCCGAGTAGTCAGTTTCGGCTAATCATTGTCCAATCAGTTTGCGTGTTACACATCCCTCTTTGGCGTTTCATTTTAAACAAAATGGCGGCGCCCATAAATCGTGATATTTGTGATGATAAAATTGCGAAAGTTTTCGGTGTTGGTGCCTTCAAGCCTCATCAGGTACAGCTTTGTGTGAGAAGGATGTCTGCATAGCGACAAAAACAAGAAGTGGAATTTTGTTTTGCCTTGTTTCGAGACGCGCCAAATCTAATCTCACTGCTTAAGATACGCAATTAGCTTATGCGATCCCACACGGTATCCTGTAGAGGCCTATAGGTCGAAGACACGGGACCGTGCGATTCGGACGATGTGCTACAGCGAATTTATTATTAATAAATATTTATCTTATCCATGTGGTTGGCTATATTGTGCCTCTATCAACTACAAAAAACATTTTGATACCGTAGATCGCTGTTCACTGTTTATACAAATTAGTTAAGGTTAGAGTACGGGTGAAAGTTTTTAAAACTCGCAGCGGAATGTGCAGCTCAGTGAAAGCATGCGTCAAAACACCCAAAGGTTTTGTTTCATAATCTGTTGTGGTGCTGTTCGACAGAAACCGGCCCGGTTATTTCTCCTCTCGACTGTCATTGAAACTTGTATAAGGAATGGAACTGTTATTTTTTGGTATTCATGTTGGGTCAACTTTATTATCTTTTATTTTCAGGCGATCTAGCGATGCTTAGCACCTCGCACATTTGTACACGACGCTTATTGATTACTGTGTAAAAGGCAACATTAAAGCGCGGTGGTCGTCGCGCAGCGCGTGTTCGAATTTCATGTAAATAAACAATGTATTGTACACGCGTTGTATACGTCGCTATGAGTCCCATATCGAACAGGACGCGGCACGACTACCGCCCTTAAAGTGATAAAGGCTCATTCATCTATGTATGGACTAAAACAAAACAACAAATAAATAAGCATGATAATAACAAATAATTAGTGATACAATGAAATATTATGTAAATTAACTAATTAATATATAACACTCACTTTTATAGTGCTTTACTAACTCGACCAGAGTGGGGAAAATAGCACGCTGAGCAATGAAGAAACCACCGGCATCCATACTTCTAATTCTGTAATGTTTGACAGTGTAACCTTTGGTAGCATCATAATCCAATGTAGACATAGAATACGCGCCTACAATTTAAAAGACATCATTGGTTAACATTCATTCATTGATTCATTCATTCATTCATCATTCATTGATTCATTGATTCATTCATTCATTCATTCATTCATTCATTCATTCATTCATTCACAACCGTATTAGGAACGTTAGAAGCAAACCACCCATTAAGCAAACGAACCCGAGGGTCACCGACCTTTCACTGTTTCGGCGTCTCTGATCAAGAACGTTCCTCTCACTTGGGTTGCCATTTTTAACTTTTTCTCGGCTTCTTTACGGGCGATGTTGCCAAAGTACCAGCTGCAATTCAAGCAGGGCAACAAAAAGTAAATAAATGAATCGTATTCAATAAGTTATTAGTGTATTAGGACCATAACAATTACTTTCTATTTAAAATTGTGTTTGCGAAACGTGAAATTTGAAACCATAATTGAACAATCTGAATTCATTGCGATTTTGTGATAAAATCCGTAGAAAAAAAAAAGTTGTGTAATGATTTTTGCAAATAAAGGCGAATATAAACAAGCTTATTCAAAGAAAATAATTTACAATTGACTAAACATGTACATGTAGAGCACAATAGACCTGTTAATTTGGTAAAAATGTCGTCTGCCGATGAAACGGCAAATGTACACGTGTTCTTTATCAGACGATAATGTGTACACGTGATCATACAGACCAATCACATTCTGCGTATTAAAATTCGATATGAAACTATTATTTACTGACTTATTGATATTATAGATTTGGGGGGAGAATTACCACAATATATTATTACATAGTCACGACTTACCACGGAAATATGTTGTGATAAGTTAGGAGGAAGTCAAGCTTAGTGATGAAACAATGTTGCTAGACTTTCGAAACAGCTTTGACGTTTATATATCACTCACATAAATTATTTTTATAGTGTATTGGGGAGGAAGTTAAATATAGTAACGTGGCAATGTTGTATGATTTTCGACAATTATTCAAATGAAACATTTTTGTGTATTTTTCAACAATTTTCGACCAGAATGAGCATAATTTCACAATCAAAAAAAAAATAGAAAACAAAAAATGACACTGGCGGTGAAAGTGATATCGACCAAATGTTTAACGACTTACTCTTGTGATTCAATACTGATCTCTTCTGCTATGTAATTACTTGGTACATATCCTTCTATACTATCATTAACATGACGAGCCATCCACCAATCACCAGCACTGTAAAGATGTACAACAGCTATTATGAATAACTTATAATTGTTATATACTTTATCGAAGTGCACATTATTATGATTCATGTTCGATATTACACGGTGACGTAGTGCACACTATCATGATTTATATTCGATAGTACATGGTAATGTAGTGTACACTATAATGATTCATCTTCGATAGTACATGGTGACGTAGTGCACACTATCATGATTCATGTTCGATAGTACATGGTGACGTAGTGCACACTATCACGATTCATGTTCGATACTACATGGTAACGTAGTGCACACTATCATGATTCATGTTCGGTAGTACATGGTGCCGTAGTGAACACTATTATGATTCATGTTCGATAGTACATGCTGATGTAGTGCACATTATTATAATTCATGTTCAATATCACATTGTGACGTAGTGCACACTACTGTAACATGATTCATGTTCGATAGTACATGGTGACGTAGTGCACATTATCATGATTCATGTTCAAAAGCACATTGTGACGTAGTGCACACTACTGTATCATGATTCATGTTCGATAGTACATGGTGACGTAGTGCACATAATCATGATTCATTTCAAAAGCACATTGTGACGTAGTGCACACTACTGTATCATGATTCATGTTCGATAGTGCATGGTGACATTGTGCACATTATAATGATTTATGTTCGATGTGCATACAACTCGAATTACTGTTACGTAATAATAGATGATTTCTAGTTTATTGAACAAAACGATAAAGTGTAAAATCTATTCATATACAATTTCGTGCACAGCAAATTTATTTTACATATCCAATCTCTTGGACATTTTTGGACGCTCGTTTAAAAAAACAGAAGTGAGATAAATCAATCTCATTATGACGGAAGGCCAAACTCTTAATCAGAAATGGTCCGATTTTTTCCAGTAGAGAGCAGTTAGACAAGGGTGGCCCTCAATCGACGTACTGTAAAAATTTGATAATACACAGTAATGGTGATGCATTACGTGCGTCGATTATGTGAAGGTCATTGCCATGACAACTGGTTGACTCACCTTTTATCTAGGATCAGTAATCTGTCGCCCTTTTTGAATGCGAGGTCATCGGCCGATCTTGAGTCGTATGAGTACAGAGCAACATATATTGTACCTTGAAAGAAAGCAAAAAATAAATGACTATCGGAGTCCAACTAAGCGCGGCCATTGTATGTTTTACAAACTTATAACTTTGATAAATTAGTCAATAATTAAGACGTCAACAGAAAGTACCATGCCAGTTACAACGCGTCAATAACACAATTTCATACCGTGGCCCATAACTACAATCGAGACGTAATCGAGATATAGAGCTAACTTCAACGACTTGATATATATAACGCGTAAAACACACTTAAAATGTAGTGTGAATGAACCCATACCATTTGTAATATTAGTTTAATATTGTATTATAATACATTGGACTATGTTTTAAAACAGCTTGAAAACGCTGTTCTGGTTGCAATTGCACGCAGCTATAAGTATTCGTTCGATTAATCTATGAAATTCTCGATTGCGCATGCGCATTGATTGTTTTAGTGCGTAAAGTAAGAATCATTGCATATGCGAAGCGTTTTTTGTATATCCATCGTACAAATTTTATTATGTGTGCTATAAAAGTGACATTTGTAGTTTATGATGAAACTTCACATGGCATTATTTTGTGTAAAAATATATTAGAAATATTTTTTCCTTCAACGAATTGTTTGACTGTGGCAAGATGAGTGTAATGTTACAGTGTAAATCTGAACAAAACTACGTATATGGTGTGCGTAGTCGAGTCGAATGGACCTAATAAAGAGTGTACCTAATACACAGCGAAAAAAACCAAATCAGGCCAAGTCAAATAATATGTTAAAAAGACACCCCGACAAGAAACCAATGTTCGAGATGGAAACAACTTGAAGGTGAACACTACTTACTGCCCTCAACGTGTGTCGGTGAAGATGGCGGGTCCGCTGTTATACCCTTGGTCGGCTCATTCGAGTAAGAGTTTCTTTTACCATCTTCTTTAGCATCCGATTTTTTTCCTGACTTTTCTAAACGTTTCTTTTCTTTCCTCGTTTGCTTCGCAAGTTTCTTTTCCTCCTTTTCCTCCTTACTCAGCCTACCTCCCATGGTTACTGATATACTGAAGTCCTGTTTTCAGTATTTTGAAATGACAGATGAGAGGTTGAAGAAAGATTGTGTGGTCTGTCAAAGAAAAACATAAATACAACACGAGATAACTCACTCATTGAATCCATGTGTACGTTTATTTCAAATAACTCCTTCGTTTTATTTATTTATTTATTTATTTATTTATTTATTTATTTATTTATTTATTTATTTATTTATTTATTTATTTATTTATTTATTTAGTTTGTTTGTTTGTTTGTTTGTTTGTTTGTTTGTTTATTTATTTATTTATTTATTTATTTATTTAGGAAATGAGCTAATAGTCACTTAGTCATCCTACAGTTCATGGAAAGAATGCATGAGTAGTTTTGTATTTCGTATAGTTTGAAACATGACATTGAACCACCATTTTTTTTAGTATCGTCATACACTCCATTGCGAACAAGACTTCAGCATCGATGCGTGTCATCTTGTTATATAATAATCAATGATGGTCACTGTAACCAGGCAACACGATAACTACTTCTAATTTTTACTTCCTCATAATTAAGTTCCGCAACTCAATAGATTACGCATGTGTAATTAACAGAACATATCATGATAGCGAGGTATGAATCCTGTAAAAATTGAAACACCAGAGCAAAATGTACAAAACCCTCCACGCGGATATTTTGAAGCAGAGACCCGAGCATGCGAAGTTCCCAAACATGTACGCGCTAATGGCGTTACACCGCCGCCACTGGTCATTTCTGTGTAAAAAAAAAAAAAAAAAAAAAAAAAACGTTTCTATTTACTCTTCACGAATCGATACTTTAAAAAAAATATAATATTAAAATACATATAACCTATCTAGGAAATATACATTGTTATAACGGACGAAGAGAGAAACATAAGTGGCGATTAGGATTTCCACTCAGACGTTTGTAATAGCGGAAGTGGCGACAAGGGGCGGAGATAAATTTATTTACCATGAACATACATGTAGCCGAATTGAGCCATAAACATTTGTTTATAATTAACAGACGAAGAATGCGGGGAAGCAAAGTGACAATAGGGGAGGGGGGGTTCTGATTTTTACTCAGACGACTGTGATAGCGGAAGTGGCGACAAGGGGAAACTCCCAATCACTGGTGACGTCGTGACAATGATAGCGTCACATGGCAGATGAGCATTATGTTTTTTCTTACATTTTTTTTAAATGTATCAAAGGAAAGATGTTCAGCATTTTCCCTGCAGCAGCATGCCACAGAATACTAGTAGCAAAAACAAAAACTCATAAATATGTTTTTTTTTGACAAATAAGCACAGTAACCTTTAAAGCGCGGTGGTCGTCGCGCAGCGCGTGTTCGAATTTCATGTAAATAAACAATGTATTTTACACGCGATGTATACGTCGCTATGAGTCCCATATCGAACAGGACGCGGTGCGACGACTGCGGCCGCCCTTTAAATAATCACAACGATCAAATCACGTGACTATTGTCAGCAAGGTAGACAATGTACATGTTGTATTCACGGCGAACATTGTGTTATAACATGAATTACCGGGACAATACACCGGTTAAAGAAGACGTGGTCTTCTGATGTGTGAGATATGATGTTGAAGAAAGTCCGCCCACCATGTGTTAAATATAGCGACACGGAAGTAGGTAACTAAATCTCCAAATGACACGTGTCTATATGAAATTTATACAGTAAGTGTGATACCGGTGTCCGCTCTGACTGCATTGACTGCATTAAGTTTTTTTTTCTTCTAGAAATGAGCAAGCAAAGAATCTCAATAGGAAACATGTGTGGAAAACACCCTCCCGGTCAGACTGTGTGACGGGACTGTGAGGCCGCACCTTCCTAGGGGCTCTGTGGTAATTTAATTCGCTATCCCGGTCCAGGAAAAGAAAACAGTTACTACGCCTGTAACATATTTATAAACTTGAAATCAACACGCATTTGGGGCTATATTTCTATAAATCAAAGGTTGTGTTTTGACAAAATGAATGCGTCAAAAAAGGAAAAAGGAGTGGTTTAAGGAAAAAATGATCCATGAAATAATTTTCCAATGCATATACTAGTAGTCAGTGCAAAAGTCTTTGCAGAACATGGATGCTTATGCATCATAAATTACGTGTAGACAACATGTCACTTTCAAAGGGTATATCTGTCAGATTCCCGTATACTGTACAACACTTTCAAATAGCTACATGCCATTTTAGCGAATTTGAATCAATGCATGAATTAACTGAATCTTAATTTAGTTAAAGTGGCAATAATCTTACTGTGAAAATATACTCTAATTAACGACATCTTAATTTAGCGAAATTGCGGATTAGCTAAATTAGCTAAAATAGCGTGTTAGCTAAAAAGACATGTTTTACAGTATATACATATATAGCAAACATCGTGTGCATTCAACACAGTTGCGCAAAAACGTCACGGGCCAGTTAAATGGCATTTGCCTCTTGCATAATCTGTCCTTCGACTTACTGTTGGTGTCCAGCCCCAGCTAGGATTTGAACTCGGGATGTAACGAACTTGAAATTCAAAAAGTCCGGCGCTACCGATTTGAAGTACCCTTCTGCAGCGAAAGTAACGACTGAACAAACTGATCTGTGTCAAAGTTTATTTTTCTCCTAAACTGTAGCCAGACATGCACGTGCCGACCCTTGATTCTATTCAGCCGCAGGCATCTATTGTCGGCTAGAAGCCCTGTATGACCCTGATGATACGGGTCGCTGTAATCTGACGAGGCTTATGCAATGACGATGGACTATTTTCAGTTTTAGGGTCATGTGACTAAAAGTACGAAGGAAAAAAATGTTTTATCAGTATATATAGTAGTCAACAGATAAATGCTAAATATTACCATTTTTTCTAGTATAGTTGGTATAACTTTCTGATTTTGATTTGCTACTAACTAGCATTAAAACAGATCACCCGATTTCAGTGACAATGTGGTTTTATGTGGAATTATGCCGCAGTTAACTAAACCATACAATGATGGCGTTTGGGCAATAAACTATTTTTCGCCAAGAAATTAATATTCCGCGATATAAAGCCATATCAACTAAGACAAAATTGTGCCCGGTAAACAATAAAAAATAATAATAATTGGTTCATGATAATATTATTCACAGTTGTGATGAACTACTTTATTTATTTATGAAATAATGCTATTCCATAGATTTCCATAGCGATAACTACAGAAATGTCATTTTTTACATATATTCAGACAGTTTTCCCAGGAAAAATAGTACTGAGCAAAAAACAATATTATTTAATAATTTTGAGAAAACAAAACAAAACATTTTTTTCAAATCGAAGATGGTTACGGCCTACTTTAATCATACAAATGAATATGTGTTACCTTTAAATTTGATATATTAAATCACACCTACTTTCCTTGTAACACTGTAGAGTAACTAATCTTACCAATGAAATTGAGTCATCTATTCGATATTGTCAGAACTTGGCAAATATATGACTTATCTTATATATAATGACATGACATCACGTGACATGATCACCGACATTCCCGTTATATGTTCACTCGGAAGTAAATGCGCCTATATTAAACGTCCGCCGCAAAATTCACCAATGATTTTAATAGGTGTGCTTACATTTTGAACCTTTAAAAAAACTGAAATGGACACGCTGTATGCAAAACGTTTTGACCTGTTGTTTAACAATCTATAAATAAATTACAGTACATTATTAATCTACATAATAAATCATGCATATTATTATTATTATTATTATTATTATTATTATTATTATTATTATTATTATTATTATTATTAATTATTGTTATTATAACCATATTCCGCATGTTCTATCTAAGAAGTACGACTGCGAATAGGGTTGGCTGACAGGCATGATATCAGAACACTGCTAAGTACACAATGACATTCCATCGTGCGTAACTATTTAATTAAAACGTTTTACCGTATTGCAAATATGAATTAATAAAAAAAAGGGTTAAATTTCAAGTGTGATAAATAAAAAACAAAACGATAATTAATTAAATCAAACATTAATTGGTGACACGGATTATCAAATAGATATAATCTCATACTGACGAGGGGGTAGTGGTAGTGTCTATGGGCCACATTAGACTTAACTTGACGCTATCTTGAGAATAAAAAAGACGTATGGTGTCATAAACGTCGCGAACTGTGGATTTAAGAATAAGCATTAAGGTCTGACTCGTCCACCCTCGTCTTTAATCAACCTATATTAAGGGGCTCATAACGAACGAACATCGCCTGGTTCAAGTTCTAATATTATTACTAATAATCCAATTATCGATATAAGATTAGTTTTGACCCATATTGATTCGGTGAATTGTTTTGACAAAACTAACAATGGAATGAAGAGGCGGAAGTAAAATGCATAAAACCGATCGCCATTTATGTCCAGTGGTAATACCACCATTTAAAGACGTGTGCAACTAACGACCTACCTTAAGTCACACTCCTGTGTTCTCTGGTATCTTCAAAATAATTTTCGGTACCGATCAGCGAGTATGGATGACTAATTTTCGATATTTTGAGCGTTTTCTGCCATTACTTTACGTATCCACCTTGTCAGCCTTTTGGTTTCAATGGGAGCTGCCAAGTATTTTTACGGGGTCATTTCCTGGTTCAGGGTTCAAGGTTCACACTAGGCCAAGCTGGAACAAGCGGATATTCAAATTAGGACAACTTGTTGCACAGTTGAGGCGAGGCAAACTCCATTTGTACCAGTCTCCAAAAGTTTCAGACATTTTTCACGAGTTCACAGCAATCTCCGCAGATGGCAGACTTTTGCCAGAGTGCGTTAGACTCGGATTTTGAAGCGGGGTGCTAACGGAGTGTTAATTAAATCGGAACACGGGTAGAAGTGTAAATTTATACCTCCATGTTCAAGGTGACCGGGGTGTTTATTGATCGAGGTGTTAGACAATGTGTTATATACCACGGACCGGAAGGAGTGAAAAATGACGGGGATTTGCTGCTCGAACTCAAAACATCGACAGCTGTTCTAAGGAAATATTGGTCTGAAAAAAGACGAAAAAAAGCTGTTTTATTACGGAGAAAGGGCATTGGGCGATTACGTCATGTCCGTGCAAAAACAGTTTTTGATGACAATTATTCTGTATGATGTGTTAGGCTGGGTGTCATGTTGGTTTGTATATTTCTACGTTTGAAATAATGGGGGGGGGGACTTGAAAAGGATTTTCCAAGCTAAAATCAGAAAGACGATAATGCACACGGGAAAACATACTAATACATTAAAGAAAATATATATGTACAGGTATGACACCGCGAAAAATACGCTCTTCCAGCCACCCATCATGTTTTCAAATGATCTACCCTTCAACCTGGGAGAAGTAGAAAATTGGCCACGGCGTGACGTCGACCCTGTCACGCAGGGTTGCCTATCTGGGAGTCATTATTAGACTTCGCCACTTGGACGTTACACAGTACAATAACACATACCAATGTCGCGATAGCTTTAGAAAACAATTTAGTATAAAATACACGAAGGGTCGTGTCTTTGTTAGACTAGTAAAAACATAGGCCATTGTAAATGGTTTACACTGAGCCGGTGCGTGTACACTATCGAGGTGACTCTCAACAATTAGTCTGGGCGTGATTGATTGTTCGGTGGCGTGAATACCGAAAACTATGGTGGCCCATATAAGAATTCATACCCTAAGTGTTCGTTACCGCAACGTTTGGAAATAGCTAGTACATGTATATATGTCAACTAGCTCTTTTCCCATATTTCTTTTAAATATGTTGGTCTGTAGGCAACGTGAAATTATGTCCATTTGGCACATGTTATAGAAAAATAATTACATATATGCAAGATTTAGCTATGATATCGCTAATATTACGGTAATGTTCAGTATCGGTGTAGATTCTAATAGCGAAATTGACATATACTGTGAAGTAATTTATGTTCACATGTAATATATTTTTAGCTAAAGGAATGATTATGTGAAAATAAAATCAAGTGAAAATATCCTTTTTATATATTTTACAATCAGCTAATCAAAAATAACAAAACGCTAATTTTTTTTTTACACTGATTAATCAACGCGACGTTTGTTGCAAATCGAACAAAATAGTACAGTTTCAGACAATTCCATGCGATTTGATTGGTGGAATTACTGACAGTAAATTTGGAGTTGATGAATAACATCACATGTTTGATTAAGACTAAAAAACGGGTTTCTAATATTTGATTCACCCATCAAATAACGGTGTGTGATGCAATAAACATGGTATTTTATAACAGCATTGATATATTACACCCATAATATGAGGAGGGAAGTGAAAATTTTACTATTTCTTCATTTACAATGTACCTTATGAATAACTTAAGACCATGTCAAACGGAATTGATTGTTGGATTTAGTGGTACGTATCGGAAGTACACATCAGACCTATAGTAATATAGTAAAATTTACTTTCCAGTACGGGAATTCGTTGTACCAGATAATTATACCTCTGTCGTTCATACTTATTTATCCCTTGGTCACAATATTAATTATATTTTTGGTGATATTGGAATTATAGCGTCCCTGCTTTCTTCTATTGTGAGCAGTAATCGGAGTACTGCTGCCATGTATGATCACCGTCGCAGACTTGAACGTATACAAATTAAATTTAATTTAAACACTTTGAATCCCATAGACATGTTCTAGTATTCAAATATGTTAATAAAATTTACCACTCTTTATGTATTTTGAGAGAATTTCTATTTCAGATTTCCTGTGCGCGTTCACAGAAAGAACGTCTATTTTAAATCGGTCGGGGATTTCCCGTATCAGAAAACTCCCTTTCTTACCACGTGCAGTGTATCAAGTGCTTGTGGATATTTTAATGGCATTACTAATGGTTTCAGCAATTCCTTTCATTTTACCCTCTTTACTATTAAAACATATTGTTCAACTTATTTTATTATTATTTGTTTATCTTATAATCTTTTTGTATCTTTACGAATAAAATAAAATAAATTAAAATGCGGCATACGATTGATTTGTTTATTGTTTCTGAATATTATTTTATTTATGTGTACCTAGAAAATAAAATTTATTATTAAGCGATCACATCTGTAATATTAGGTATTTAGATAGCACATTCACTGTGACAACGAACTCAGTTCGCCAATTTACTAGTACGGGATAGTCTGCGTAAGTTCGATCCGAATTAAGCAGAGTACTTGTAAATGTGTGCGATCCAGTGAAATCCAGCATGTTATATTATAAGTTGTGTTGTTTCATTTTATAAACGAATGTGAAATATCGGTTACGCTTCAAATATAGTCTCGATGTTAAGTAAACTTGTTTGCTTTAATTACGTAACAAATCTGACTTCAAATTACTATGAATTATGAAAATGTTCAAAATGGTTTATATAAATAAAATCGTATATTCTGTTCGCACCAACGGAACAGTAGTATAATTATGTACTTGTTCCGCTTTTGTGACTAATTATATCACTGCATTGAAAAAACTAAATGAATTTTTAATCCTTTTTGAATCCCTCTGAGATGACCTGACTCCTTTTGGAAATCGGTGAACTGAAGCTTTCCGGTGAACCGAATCCTTCTAGTGAGGGTAAATCATGATGAACTAAATCATTCTTAGGATAAATAAATATTCTTGTATGTGGACAACATAAAAACGAAACTCACTTACCCTAAAACGAACAGGAAGTGTGTGGTATTTACCAGTTATGTTTTTCCTAGAAAGGGTATTAAAGATAAATCTCAAAGGGCTTTCCAGTTTGTACGTATTCAAAGACGATCTTAGGGATAATTTGGAGTCTTTTACTTAATATATATGTACAAAGCAGTGAACTCGCCCGGAACCATAACGTTTTATTTTAATTATGCGCGTTCACGTTGTTGTAGGGACAGCTTAGTGACAACTTTTTCATTGGGTACGCAACTTTAGGAAATAACAACGGGCAAACACACTACTTTTCTTCTAGTAGCCGTGTACATATTAAAACAATTGCAACGTCATATGAACTCCCTAGCACGGCCCTAAGTCAAAAACGTTAGTCGGTGATGAAACTAGCACGAACGCTTAACACGGTCTGAGAAATAGTAATTACGTTCTGGATCTGACCCGCTTTTAACGACTCTGTCTAACGAAGTGTACGTGAACGGTTAGCTCATGGCAGGCTAAGCGCCGAAAACACCATTGTATGTCTATTTAGAAGAGTTTTTTTTTTATTCATCATAACTATTTTTTTCGGTATGCCATTTCCAACGCGATAATCAAAGCGCACATACATAGACATTATTTTCAGGGAAAAATGAACTCAAAGTGTGGCTCACTGTTACTAAGTATCTGCAATCTTACACTTTCTGAATCACCATTGTTATTGTTTTATATCAATATAATAGAACTACATTGTATATTTATATCACTAGAGGGCGGTTATTGCAAAGATACCAGTATCCTCGGGGCGGAGCTACGTCACCAGACGTTCCACGTTGCTCTGCGCGAGCTGCTGGGGAACGCCGGTCGAGGAGCCGGTGAAAATATCAAAATTTGAGAACAGTTCAAACTCAACTTTAAAGTAATCCCGAACCACCAAATTTATATATGTTGGACATGCAGGAGTAATCTTGTTACACTGTTCAGGGGAGTCTGAAAACCATCCCAAAGTACCGTTTTCTGAAAATTTTCAGCTTTTGTTTTCACCGTACGCGTGATGGTTGCCAGGCGGGGAAAATACCCGGATGTCCACCCCCTTTTTGATAAAAAATAACAGAGATTGGCTGCGTAGAGGTTCGTCGCAATTTAGAATTGGGTAAATTTCTCAACAATAATATTGTTGAATGGCCAGGCCTTAGTCTGTTCCAAGAGAAGTTTTTGTTCATCATTTAATCCACCCTAGACACGACACTACCGGTGTGTCCCTTCAACTGTGGTTTTTATGGAAAGAGTTAAAATCCCCCCACGCCTATTCTGAGTCCCTCACAATTCCCCCCAAATAATTCAATATGCCCCTCCAAATATAAGTAACCCAAAAGTTTGGAGTAAGGATGCGGGGGGGGGGGTATATTGCCTCCCGCACATTACATAACACGCGTGGCATATTGTCTGAATTGCTTACGTGATGTGTCAAACATATGGCTGGGTATGAGCAAACTTTTGAGACGGCGCTTGATGGACAAACAAATCCGTTTATAGATAAAGGGATTGTGGTTTAAAGTACAACAACGGGCGCCGAAATAAACTGAGTTTTCATGAACAGTTTCTTTCGAAGCCTGTTGTAATATTCGGGAATCACTGCATGGTATGATCTTAGACTACTAAACTGCCTTCATCCTCCGTCTTTTTCATCGTGTCACTGACTAAATGAAGAAATCGCACAAAAAAAAACAATTCGGCCACGTGCATATGAAAGAATGAATTAGAAAATACACTGCCAGTCACGCCCTCTGACGACAAAGCACTTCACCAACTTAAAGGAGTGAAAGGAAAGTGGTTGATATCGTCGTTGTATTCATCGCAAATACACCAATTTTGTTTTGATAGGTTTACTACACGAACAACTACACAACCAAACAAAGCTGTCACTGTGAGCGACATCGCGTTCAGCCTCGAGGGTTAGTTAACGCATGGAGGTAAAAAGAGATTACCTCCATGGTTAACGTTGATAGTCTGTAGCTCAGTTAATTGAACCCACAGTCACTACTCCTAGTAGAGTGACTGTGGTGAACCGCGGCCACCTGCATATTTAATAAACATATATAATATCCTTAAAGAAAGTGATTACCAAAACTTGAACAAAAAAGAACAATTTAAACTTATACTACAGTCACCAAATACAAACCATATTATCACTCTCTGCAAATATTTAGTTAAATATAAACACTAATTTTATTTTGTCATGTTCTTTTATATTTTATACATATTCTATGCTACATACAGTGATACTTACATATCACAGTATTTTAATATTTCTTATATTATTAATAATTGTCTGTAGTATTTTTGTCGTTCACTAATTTTGAATTCTTTTTAAATCAATTTTTACATTTCATGTACTTTTATTATTTACTTTATTAATCTGAAAACCTAAAAAGAAATGTTAACTCTTTCTTTACGGTATTAATAAAGCATTATTCTATTCTATTCTATTCTATTCTATTCTATTCTATTCTATTCTATTCTATTATATTCTATTCTATTCCATTATATTATATTATATTATATTATATTATATTATATTATATTATATTATATTATATTATATTATATTATATTATATTATATTATATTATATTATATTATGACCTTGCGTGGCGTTTTAGACAGTGCAAATCGGCATTGTCAAACCGTCTATGTGGTCTGGAGTTTGTTGTAGTCATCTCATTTAAATATCAATACAACAAATGAATGAACCAGTTCCTACTGCATAGCACAGATCACGTGACCACACATCCAATTCTACGTGAATAAAGCTGAATGATTTGCTATTTGGTATCCAGCTACTCTGTATACGTTTTATTCACTTTCCGTTCCTCTCCATGTGTATATGCAGTCTCTCTATAGTCTATAGAGGAACTGTGGTTTTGTGCCACCCACCGCCGGCCCCACGCGAATAGTACAGAGTTGTGGACATTTGTAACTTCGGACTTCGATATTTGACGTTCAAATCTAATCACTGTAGAATAAAAATAATATTGACCTTTGATAACAAGCCAATCGCAATATCAACAATGGATACGAATTCTGAGAGAAACTGAACACGGATAAGTGAAATTGTTTACTTAATTTATAAATGAAAAAAGAAAAAGAAAAAAAAACTGAATTCTGCTATCGGATTTTACAGATGATGTATTATTAATAATTCCATCAACGCCACTTGGTTGGTATGACCCTTTTATTTAAACACTAAACATGCTGGGTCACCCGCCAGATTGCTATCGGTACATCACAAAACGGATTTATCATCATGGCTACCATAAGCATAACTCCGATTGTTGCGTTCTTGTTCCTGTGTTGTCATGAGCTAAATATCGTCAATGCAAGTAGTAATAAATACGGGTGAGTAATAAAAACTGTAAACTAAGTAATATTACATATAGCATCGTGACCGGACGTTCATTTCCCGATCTTTGGCGATGTCAACTTCGACAACCAAGCAGCTCGGGACTGTGTCCAAATCGAGCACGCTATCTATAGTTAGTGTATTTTCGTCCTACTACTGACAGTTCCATCTATTCGTCAGTCCGTTTTTCCTCCGAAAGAAGTTGAGAGAACCGACAAAAATCGTTTGAAATGTTCTTGTAAGAAAGTTTCTTTCATTGTCTGCCCGTATTATTATATATGCATATGCCATAAGTAAGTACATCATTCGTTAGACCATGGAACCCATGGTTAGACGTTGTATCTTAGTAACACGTGTCAAGATACAATGATGGCATGTTATCTTGTTAGCAGACACGTTTAAGTTCACGACTCGGTTTATTTTAATCTGTTTCGTTTGCACTAACAGCAAATAAATAGAGCAGCGAATGAATACATAAATAGCCATAATGTGACAATATTGTATCAGATCTAAAAATTGCGGCGGTGACAATTAATATTGATTCCCAGTACTCTTATCACATGATAAAACCAACAACTGTGGGGTCGCGATGGCGTAAACTTCTAAGGGACAGCTCAGTTTGTTTGACCGGAGTGGGCCGGCAAAATCTTCATCAGGCTGTACAATCGATAAGGCCCCACAGCCCAATCATGAATTTAGAAAAGGGAAACAATTAAATGACCCTCCTCAAATGAGCAAATATCTGGAATGCACGTATGTGGTCGAATGCCATCTTCACTGTGAATTACAGATTTGAATATAGGCGCCCACGAACCTGGGTCTCAACCTTAAATGAAGATTAGTTTGTTATGTATTTTATTTGCCCTTTTATTTTTCTGTTTTGTATGTGTTAAATAAAAAAAGAATTAGTTTATTAGCTTACTGTATTTTGGCGACATCAATACCAAATAACTCATGTACATTTGTTTGTAATGATAATGATATCACTTTTATTTAGTACCATGCGCTAGCATTTTTAGCAACTTGAAAATTAATAAGTGCAAAAAAAGTCGATCGCTATAAAATTCCCTGTTCAATATATATAAACTGCATTCACCTTCAATTAGTGACACGGTCTCTAGTCACGTGGTACATCTGATCACGGAACCCTAAGTTATCCATTTCCCTTTCTGTAGTGAACATCCAGGCAATGATTATCTGACGCCATATCGCCCTGGTAACCACGGGCCACGGCATTCACATCGATACATACGGGACTGCGTAGGACGTGAAGAGGGAGAATTAATTCACGAAGCTTACAACGTGCACGAACGGTCGACCGATGAACCGCTGATAGAAGCGCGCCATTTCATTTACGACATTGTGTCAGATTCGGGCGAGACACACACCATCCAGGGTCACCACACCACCGTAAACGATCCAATGAAATTGTCTGTTTTAGAACCATCAACCCCCGGAGGTTGCGACCGAAAAGACCTGGAAACGGTCGTGGAAACTGGTAAACAGAAACAGTGCATCATGGGATTGAATGCAGGCTTTTTCAACACGAGCGATGGTAGTTGCCTCGGCAACGTTATCAGCGACGGCCGATTGGTTGTAGATTCGGGAGGATTAATAAACGCCAATTTTGGTATTAAAGAGAATGGTCAGATGGTGTTTGGGTGAGTATTTTTGTTGCTACGGAAATTCTTCAATTGTTTGCAATTGTTTAGACAGTCGGTGAGACAAAAGAGCGGTATTAACGTAGCGGGAATGGTGTTATGACATTTTTGAATAAAGAATTCACTTTCAACTCATTCTAATCCTTCATTCACCACATCCCTTAAATTTGAATATAATAGCTTGTCGTTTGTTCACCTAAACGTCACGTGACAGAATAATTGCCAGACCTTGTCAAAATAACTATAAACACACGATTTCTGGAACACACTGCAGTATTTCCAGCTGAAGCTCACGGGATTCACGGTGTTACTATGTCCATGAAAGTTTTTCCTGACAAAGCATTGCATTTTAAAACCCAGATACATTCTCGTTAAACAGAATTAGTTATTTGTGGCTTCGGCAATATTTAAAGCGGGGGGGG